CATAAAGTATTTTAAAGTTGGATATGAATTTCAAATCAATTCAATTTTGTTTAAATGTCAAGCTTTTAAAGTCAAAGTTTGTTTGGAATGCACTTTTTGAGGGGAGCTTTTGAGTTTTCAACTGATTTTATGATAAAATTTAACACTTACTCTCCAAAGTTATTTTAGAACTTTAAAGTTGAATTATTTTTGATATAACAAAAAGGGGGAGAAGTATGGGTTTGAAAAATTCAATTTCTTAATGAAAAGGGGGAGCTGAACATTTTCATACATTTTCCAACAATTGGTATCTTTTTCATTAAATATTTTATTAAGGGGGAGTTTTGCCAAAAATAATTTTTCAAATGTTTTGTTATATAAAAAATGGGGAGATATTTAAACTATATTTTGATATAACAATTAAGGAAAAATGTTTTTGAACTTGAATTGAATTTATCCAAAGTTTTCAAAGATTTCAAAAATAATTCAAAGTCCATCTAACTTGGAATTGAGCACAAAATAATTTTCTGGACAAGCAGTACTGATACTATTCTTAGAGTATCGATACCTAATGAACAATACCGATATTATTCATATGGTACTGATACCAAGGTAATGGAAGTATCGATACTCACTAGGTAGTATCAATACTACTAGCATTACTCAAATTCCATAATGCAAAAATGGTATCGATACCCAAAAGGGTAATGATACTACTTTACATAGTAGTATCGATACCATAGGCATACTATCGATATCATCAGGCCCCAACGGCCAGTAACGACTAGTTGTATTTAAAAATAAAAAAGATAGTACCGATACTTCCTTTAGGAGTCGATACACTCTATACTGGGAAGTTTTATTTTGTAGAGATTTCATTCCTAGACGGCTAGAAATCATCCCCAACGGCTAGAAACGACCACAACTTCATTCCAACATATAAATACAAGTTCAAGACACTTGAAGAAGGGTTAGAAAACTTATCCAAGCATTCAAACACAAGAGAAGAGTTTTCCAATCTGATTTTATCTCTCTTATAAATATTAGTGTTTTAGTGAGCTAAATTTTTAAACACCCTACCTTTGAGATGTTTTATTTGTTTACTTCTTTTTACCTTTTGTAAAAGGGGATTGGTTCTATCTTAGCCAATTGAAAAGATAGGGAGTGTAAAGGTTATCTCTTGATCCTTTAAAAAGAAAGAACAAATTAGTGAATTTGTTAGAAAATCCTAAGTGAGGAGCTTAGGTAGTGGAGGTAGACTTGGTTGATAAGTAGAACCACTATAAATCTTTGTGCCAATTTTTTCTATCTTTTACTCCCTTATTTGCTAGTCAAATTATTTCCAATTCACCCCCTTACAACTTTTTCGGTTGTCAATTCGAACTTCCGCAAATCCCAACAGCCATATGTGGCTAGCACTCATAGTCGTGGGCCTTTTTCGATCATTAAGATCATCGAATTGGTCTACTCTAAAAAAATGGATCAATCTTCTCTAAACCGAATTGGTCTGCTCTCAAACCAGGTTAAATGAATCAACTCGAACTGAGTCAACTCATATTGGTTTGAAATGTTGACCTTGACCGAACCATTGATTTTGACTTGAACTATTGACTTTTACCAAAGTTAGCTTTGAATTTGAACGTCATTGATTTTGACTTTGACCAAAAGTTGACTTTTTCTGAAAAGTCATATTTTGGATTTTATAATATCCCGAGTCCTATTTCATGGTCCGTTTTGTCAAATTCTAACCCGAAAGCTTATGAATCAAACCTTAAACCCATGCATATTTATTTAACTATTTTATTTAAGTGCATTTAAATTAAGGACAAAATCTAATTCGTGCTATTGTTTATTTAAGGTACTCGTGATTCTCCTGACATATCGTCAGCTCGACCCAACTCTTCTCGATCTGTTCGAACGTGTGAGCTCGTGATTTCTCGGATTTTGTAAATCCAATGAACAATTAAATTAAAATATTAATTGAATAGTAATTTTGTTTTGTTATGGCTTAGGTAAGAGTATTGTTGTAAAGTGTGGCGAGACCGATGCTCAATAGGTCTCCTAGACTGATCTTTTCGTGAGGTGTGTTCCTTGTGTGCTATATAAATATTTTAAATACTTGTTTGAATTATAATGTCACATGATTGTTCTATCTGTTTTAAGATATGACTATTTTATTTCTTATGAATGATTTATCTGATTGAAATCCTGATTCATGTTGTATTGATAATGAACTATGTTTGCTTGATATATATTCTCTAGTTATCGATTTTACTGAAAAATAAATGTCTGATTTATGATTTCGTTATTCAATTGGTATTATCTAAAACTATTTTATTGGGGCACTTTTTGGGATGTGATATGGAGTCTCAACAGGTTCAACTTCGATCAAGTTGGGAATTTCATATGAACTTAAGGCGATCTTTGGGTAGGCTATTAGGCCCAATGAACCTAGAGTAAGACTTTATGGATCCTAAGACACCCCTTAGGATGACTCCTATTCCCAATGGGATATGATTAGTCTTTATGGGCCTGAGACACCCTTCAAGTGGGCTTTTACACTTCAGCTAGGGTAAGTCCTTATGACCTAAGGTACTCAGGTTGGCTTCTATTCAATGGGTATAGTGTAAGTCTTTATTGATGCAGTTTTGGAGAACTATATATCGACGTATGGGTAGATGATAGTTATGTGTTTTAAAAAAAACCTTACTACCACTTTTACGTTATTTTATTAAACTGGTTTTTTTAAACTTATCAATATGTGTTATTTTGCACTAATTGGAACACACTGAGCTCCCTAGCTCATTCCACAAACTTTCTCTTTTTCATATGCTTTTAGATAGGTACCCCAGACTTAGCACTTGAAGAATCGACACGTACTATATTTTTATTGTAATTTTTCTATCTTCCAGATTGTCTTTATTTTAGTGGCATGTACCTATGTTTTGAAATACATGTTACATGACATATTTTACTTTTACTACCGATGTACGATTATTTTGATACGTGACGTCATTTGGTCTTAGTATTACTCGTTATCTCTCATGTTTATATTACTCGTTTTGGCCATATTATGATTTTAATGTATTGAAGACGCTTTAAAAGTGTTTCTAATCCATTAGATCTAGTTTTAGTGTATAGACTATTACATAATGATATTTAATTTATCTATCAATAATAAATAAACAAATTTAAATAATAAACAAATACCTTTTGAGTACAAAATAATAAAAAATATTAATAATTTTATTTAAAAATCCAAGTATTACTAAATAATATAACAATCAGAAAATAAATAAATGATCAAACGAAATGTAAAAGATACAAATAAAATAAACGATCAAACGAGATGTAAATGATACAAATAAAATAAATATGTTCATTTGATGAACTGAACATACATTGTCCTCAAACAATTCCTTCACTAAAGGAATGTTACAATCTTATTCAAATTCATCTATTTAATTCGATAAATAATTATGTTAACAGTATAAACCAAACCATTCACATATTGTTCACCTAAAGCTACAATCATTTAGACCCCTGCATTTTAAATAGTTCAATGTTTGGAAACCTGGAATTTCACTGCCAACGAGATTGAATGGCAATGGTGGAGGGTTTCGCCAATTGGGAAGCTGTCCCGTTATGATTAGTGTCTCCAACAATGGTGATGTATCAACAGCAGCTTCAAGCAATCTCCCTTTCTCCGGTAAGGGCTTCCCTTTAATCAGGGTGTCGATTATTTTTCCGTTCGAAAGATATTCATCGATTGGAACCCGATCGTAGCGGGAATCTTCGACGAATGAAGTTCTTGTCGTTTTAGAACGGATACCGATACCTGCTGTGGATGGAACGTTGTGGGCGGTTTGAGGTGGAATGTTGGATGATGGTAAGAGTTTGTTTAGGAGTTTCTTCAATTCAGAGACTTCGGCCATCGATTTCTTAAAAAGAGAACAGAAACATTATGGTAATAATTTAATGGGGTAAGTCTTCTTATAAAAGATAGACTTGGAATAAATAAATCGATTATTGAGAATGTCCGAATTGAAAGGGATTTTGTTTTTGTTTTGCTGTCATAATCCATATATTTTTTTTATAAATATGAATCATATCACTAATTACAAATTCGTGTCGTATTAAAAAGAAACGGGAAATTTTAGATTTTCTTAAATCGTCAATTAGAGATTCTTCTTTCCCCTTGAGATGCCTTATGCTTGTTGCCGGCTTGCTTTTTTAAATGTTCATAAATTGTAATTTTGTTTCTTACAATTCTTGGATTACTTATCCCAACTTTCCCCCTATTTATACATAGATGGCAATGACAGCAAATCAAATCTTAAGTCGTATGTTTCCCGCAGTTAACAAAACCTTACAATTACATTACAATTACAATTTCAAATCAAATTCTATAGAAGATGGTCGTTCTTGGTGAATTGGTTTGATCACTTTTTCCGTTCAAAATAATTGGATTATTTTAGATCTCCACTTTAAAAATGTGTATTTTAATTCTAAAACCAACTTTTTTCAATTAATTTTGTTAATAATTTGACATGACTTTTAATAAATATTTGATGTATTTCATGAAAAAGGTTGCGCTATGACGTCCACACCACACATTGACCTTTTTTTTTACAATTTAACAAGTTTTTGCACCTCTACTAAAAATGAGAAAACAAATGCATGGTATTATCAAAAAGAAAATGTATGCTATTTGAATGTGCATAAAATGCTAACTTGTATCAAAATGTAAATGCCAAACCACTATATATCAACGAACTGATAATTATGTTCGAAAAATAGGGCAGCAGATGATGAAATTATAATCGAGGAACTAAATCTACCAAAAAAAAAAAAACACACACACACAGCACATGTTATTTAGGGAAAATTAATCTAATATAATCGAATATTTCACACCAAAGAGTCAGCAGAGTAAAAACATGATATGCAAAGAAGAGAATACAAATACAAACACAACAAATATAAGTTGTAACAAATTAGTTGGGTTTTTTTTCAGACCAAAACAGCTACTACAGTAGTAAAGAATGTACCCTTCAGATCTTATTCTCAACATAGTTTGTTCAAGATCCGCAGCAAGCTGATTTTTGAGTGCCGGCCGCACCCCCTGCAGCCTGGTTGGTTTGGTTAATTTTGATTGCCTGTGGCTGCGGATTAAAAGAAAAAACAGTTGGCAAAGTTAAATGGATTTGCATAAATGTAGTATGTTAAAGTTAAAGAAACCATACCTCAGGCCTGGAGTCAGTATCCGCAAGTCTTTTCTTAATGTCCCTGGCTATCGAAAAGAAAACCTCCTCAACATTTAAGTTTGTTTTTGCACTCTGCATGATGATATAGAGTGACTCTTGAGCATGTAGGGAACATTTAATAATCATATCAAAAGTAACTAAAACATCTGGAGTAAATTTACATACAGTTTCAAAGAACTGGATGCCATATTCATCAGCAAGAGCTTGGCCCTTTGAGGTAGGGACGGCCTGAAAATAAGTTCCTAAATCAACTTGACAAGAAAAAATATCCACAAATGCAAACAGAAGGGTAGCTGTAAATGCATGTAAAAAAAAATTATATGTGCATCTATAAGAGAGAAGAAGAGAAACATACCCTTTTGCTTTCATCCATGTCAGCCTTATTACCAACCAGAATCTTGTTGACATTATCCGAAGCATGCTGTTCAATATTACGGATCCAATTTCTAATGTCTAAGAAGAAAAGGACATTAATTCAGTAACTATAATGGAGAAGAATAAATTTTCAGATAACTGGATTAGGAGTATGTTTCAAGTTTCCACATTGCAAGAAAATGAATTGATCCAAAAACAAGGAATATTAAGAGGAACACTAAAAACAGTGAAAAAGACGCAAAGGTGGATAAGCTCAAACAGTCTGTGTACGACAATCGAAATGAAAATGTTCAGTACTTACTATTGAAAGATGACTCATCAGTCACGTCATAGACGAGCAAAATACCCATGGCTCCACGGTAGTAAGCTGCAAAAAATAGAAAACATTACTCAATTCAACCAACAGTAGAGAAGACCTTAGAAGACAATAAAAGAACTCAAAGGATTTCAATTCTAACCAACTGTTGTTAGTAATTTTATTACCAAGTCCTGTCATAAATCGGAGTACAACATAAGTGGGTTTGAAAGTACGAGAGATGCAAAACCATGGACTAAAAACAACAGAGAAAGAGAAAGGAGAGCAACAAAACCTTGAATTAGAGATGTTATTAAATTTGACATATTAAAGCGAGAGCAATGGTATCTCACATCATGCAATGAAACTTGCAATAACAAGTTAACGCAAAACAATGCTAACTCATGCTATCAAATATATTATAAATCAGATCAGATTATAATTATGAATTATAATTCAATTCGAATCATTGACACATTCAGATTTCAGAGTCTAAAGTAAACAAAAGCTAACCAGTTGTAATGTTCGAAACCGCTCTTGCCCAGCAGTATCCCAAATTTGCATTGATCTTGTCAATTCTGCCAAAGCAAGCACATCATTATTAACCCACATCTCTTTGTAACAAAATTTTAATAAAAAGACCACTGAACTTTGATTAGAAGAACACCTACCCAATGGTCGTGATAAAACTTGTAGTAAATGAGCCATCCGAGAAACGCAAGAGGAGGCAACTCTTACCACACCTGCCCAACCACACAATAACAAAGTAAAAAGAACTTATTCATAACTCAACTCAAAAGGAAGTGCAGATATCAAGACAAAGCTCTGGAATTAATGCAACACCAACAATTAATCCCTAATTACAGGAAAAATACACTATTGTAGCAGGCCATCCTACGAATAAGAAACACTACCTCATGCAAATGTACATTCTGACTCCAGGATATCCATCTTCCGTAAAACTAATCGAGACAGAAGATATTCACATGGAAATGAGTGTCAAGACAGATATATTAAAAAATCCAACCTAAAAAGTCAATAGCATAGATTTACCAATACATATCATAAACCTAAAATGAAGCTTAATCTAAGGTATGATCTTCAAAACAAATCACGGCATCACATCTAGGATTTCTTTATTGAAAACAAAATCAAAGCCATATAAATAAATAGCACAATGTTTCTCAAAAACCAATGTAAATTAAGGACTAGATCTCATTTCAAATCAATATTCATATACAGAGAAAATTAAGGAAAAAATTACCGCTATCGCCGATCAAGAATATAAAAATAATTGAAATTTATTTGGTAAATCGAAAGGAAAGCAATACAGGGGAAGGAAGAGAGATCTGGTGAAATGAGGTCAGAAGCGTCTCTGGTACGCCTAACGGTCGGCCGTTGTGAGAGAGAAAGGAAAATTGAGGAGAAATAGTTTTGTTTGAGGAAATGAATTACTGGAATCGAATCCTAACCGACGGATTAATAATCTTTGGCGTTAAGATATGCGTGGAATGTAACGGTTTTTCTTTTCTTTTAATTTATTCGTCAACGGAAGCAAATGGCGACTATGAATTCATACACTCTGGTTGGACGGCAGCGTTTAGGATCCGGGTGGGTTTTGTATCCCGAAAACGACCATGCAGCCCTTTGCTATTGGAGTCTGAGTCGAGTTTCAGTATTTTTTAATTTAATTTGATTTAAAAAGTTAAAATTAAGTTAAACTCGATTCAAAAGTTTGTAAGTTTATAAATTATCAAGTCGATTTAAACTTAAAATAAAAAATTTTGAAGCTCGATTCGAATTTGAAAAAATTTGAACTCGAAATATTTTCAGACTTAACTCAATTGAAGTTCGAATTCGAGTTCGAACTTGAATCTTAAGCACATAAAAATCTTTTACTATATTTTTAAAAGCATCATATAAAATTAATTATTAAATTTTAAATTAAAATTTAATATATTATTTTTTCGAATTGCTCGTGAGTTTTTTGAGTCGTATATCAAATAGTTCATTTTGGTTTGTTAATAACTCGAGTCGAGTTTGAGCTTGAGTCAATCCATTCGGATTGAATATTGATCGAACTTTGATCAATTCAAACTCGAGTAACTTACGATTGTCTCATCTCATTTATAGTCATACAGTTACATTTTAAAAATTATCTTACAATACAATGTGAGATAATTAAAATTATTTATAAGATAAACAATACTAATAGTATTTTTATTATAACATGTTTTTTTTTAGTTTTTATTATGAAAAAATTTGAAAATAATCACTAATAAGTTGTCGTTTTCTATTAAAAATTAATAAATGATGTTTTAATTTAAAGTTAAAATACTATAAACTTAGCCATCAACCTTAATTTTAAAAATGATCGTAGTTTTAAAAATTAACCTTCATATTCATTAATATACTTAGATTGTGTTCCCGAGATAGGTAATGAATTATAAACCCTAAGTTGTATAGTTTGTTCGTACATTGTATAGATTTTTAGACATTGAAGTGTAAAGCATTTATATGTTAACTGAATATTTAAAGTTCAAGAAGAGGTTAGAACCTCTAAAATAGAAGAAAGACATAGCTATGGAGTAATCAACAATTTGATAAGCACTGATTAAGTATGTAAAGTAAGTATGTTTGTTGTTATGATATTATGTATACAGGTATTTATCTAAAATGTGCTTATTTGTGAATACGACTATAAATTGAACTTTCGACTATCATATAACTTGATGAGGTATGCTAGTACGTGTTTCAATATGAAATTAATTTTTTGTTATATTCGAACTTAATAAAAAAAATGACAATAGAATTTGATATGAAAATGTCAATTGCCATAATAATGTGTTATATGTGCAAATGTATTTATATGTTAAATGATATGTGCGGGAAATGGCAGTTTTGAATCCGGTGTTATGATAACTTAAGCAATTGATCATTTGTTTATGAAAAGTAACTTAAAGTGCATAATTGACCTTTTAATTCTCAAGGCATAATCTATTGTTAATTGAGAGTTTATGGAGCATGATTGTCGAAGCGGTCTTTTTCCGGAGAGGGAAAAGGGGTCTCGTTTCAAAAATAATTCTTTTGGAACGACCGGTTAGTGAAAAAACGTGGTTCGAGGAGTCGCTACCAATATTTGATAGCACCCCAAACGTATTTTCAATTTTAATAAAACCTTAATTTTAATTAAAACGACAAACTTGCGGTCTGCGTTACCAAAACTTAAGTTCGGGAGTCAATTACGTGTGGGGAAAGATTAGCACCCCACAACGCCCTAAATCGATACATAGTCGATTAATTAATTGCCTTTGCAACAAAATTTACAAGTTCGAGTTTAATTTAATTTAAGATCCCCTAAAAATAATATTATTCAAAATTTTAGATGAAAGATAATAATATTTAATTATTTCCTATCGAGAAGAATCAATCTCTCATACCTTCAAGCAATCGATTCTTACTCCAATCGAAATAATGAAATATTAAAATTCCATTCTAAATTTCACTACCAATTTCAAAATAATAACACCCAAAATAATTTTAAGAGTGAAAACGATAATATATGATTATTTCTAATCGAGAACAAATGACATTTTGTGCATTAAAACAATCATTTATTACCCCAATTGAAATAAAGGGTTATTACTATTTCGTCTTAAAATTACATAGCGATTCGAACGAAAATGATAATATCTAATGATTTCCAATCGAGAAAAAATGACCTCTCGTACCTTAAAGCATTCATTTATTACTCGGATCGAAACAAAAAGATAATACTATTCTCAATGTCGATTTGAACGTTATTGTTTTGAAAATCCACCGGAAAACACATGCAAAAATAAAACAAGTAAAAAACATACATCAATCAAACACAATTAATTAATTATTTTACCGATATTTAATGTGAATAAGGATGTTCAATTATTTAAATATCTCGAGACGAGGCCTTAGATTCGATCTAACAGTCTTTTCTTGATGAATTTAATTAAAAGAACATTGTCTTTTTCTCAATTCCCGAATTTTAAAAATGAAATTGATTGTATTTGTGTTACTAAATGGGATAGACTTTCATTTTAAAATTATCGAAAGTAACTTTCTAATATGTTAAGACAGTCACTTTACGACAATATTAAGATGATCGAATATTACCCTTAGTCAATTTATTTCGATTCGAGTCAAGCAATGCTTATGAGGATATCATGCGAGATTAGTTAGGACTAAAATGAACTAATATGCAAAACATGCAAAATTAAATAAAAATAAAAGCGGGACTAAAACATAAATGATCAAACTATCGTGCCAAAATTAAAACAAAAATAAACTATACAAGGGACTAAAATAAACATTTTCAATATTAAGTGCTAAAGTAAAAAAATACACAAAACATGGGGACTAAATTATTATATATTAAAACTGCATGACCGAATTAAAATAAATAAAAATATATATCTAATGTTTGAAATACAAACATGCAAAAGTACAGGGGCTATTTCATAAATATTCCAAAATTTTTCTACATTTTACATATTCAAATAAATAAAGGTAAAATTACAAACTAAGTCCCTAAATATTCAAAGAAAAATTAAACAGTCATTACAGGATTAAAATGCAAAACACGCGTAAACATCAAGGGTTAAATAACAAATATTCCTAAAAATAAACAACATGCACATAAATGGGTAAATTACAGAGAAAATCCCTACAGGTGACTAACATGAAAAATGCGCTAAAAGTTAGGGGACTAAACTGAGATTAAACAAAATATTTCAAAGCATGAATATAAATGGGCTAATAACAAAACTGGTCTCTTCCGGTGACCTCTTTGCAAAAACACGTCAAAGTTAGGGGGAACCTAAGGATGATTTCCGCGAAACTTTTCCTATATATACTAGCCTTTTTCTTTTTCTTTCTATTTTTTCATTTTAATTTGTTTTAAATATTTTTTTAGAGAGAGGGTCTGACCCCTCTCTAAAAATCTGGTGGTCGGGTCGTCGCCTAAGCTGTCGTCGGTAACTACGCCACCATCCACACCGCTGTCGGTGGCCGTTGGCCACCAAATTTCACCCAAAAGTTCGTCTTGGCCTCCCCATCTCGGATCTGGGGTTAGTTTTGCGAAAGGAGGCGTCGTTTATAACAAAATAGACAAAGACCGTTTGACTTTCCTCTATCCGATCCGCCGCCGTCCGCCGTTGGATCGCCCCGATTTTGGGATATGTTACTCCCCTAAGCCTTCTCCTTCAGTTGATCGTTCGGATCTTCGAATGGTGGACTCATCTCTCACCGGCCGAAGGTAACGCCTCTCATTTTACTTACTTTTATTTTTTTTACTCTTTCTTCGATATTGCTAAAAAGGAAATAATATGTTTCAAATATAGAAGGAAATAACCAAACCAAATTTGCTCTGAAATGTTCATCTTTATTATTTTCCAAAAATCACCGATCCCCTCTTGTTACATTTTTTCTTTGGGTTATATAAGCCCGATTTTACATATGTTTTTTTTCATTTTTGTTGTTGTTTGAAATCATTACGAATAAGTGTTTTTGTGTGGCATATGAGTATGGATTGCTTGATGTATTGACCCTGGATTTCTGAAACTTACAGGGTCTTTTGTTGGTGGCAGCAACGGTGGCCAAGGAGCGGGTGAAACGGATGACAGCAGCTGATTGGGGAAAATGGCGATTGAGATATTAGGGTAAAACCCTAAACTGGGTTAGGCTTCAAAACGTGTCTCGGGTCAAGTTGTTGGGTTTCAATTTTTTTAGGTCTGATATATCGAGGCCCAATTTTGGGCTGTAACTTTGGCTTGAAAATAAAAGAAAAATAAAATTTAATTAGTAATGGTAATAATAATAGGACGAAAAATGAGTGTCGACAGTTGTCCCTTTTTGCTCATTCTTATGTCAACAAGAATAGGGCAAAGACAAAGAGACAATGCGTTTTTCGTCCGTTT